TGCGCAGAGAAATCCTGCAATGCATGGCACCCGCCGGGCTGTCTGTGGCAAACGTCTCCGACAGGTGTCAAGCCTCCGGCCTTGTCTCCTTGAGCATGCCCCTTTTTGCTGGGGCCACGAACACAATTTCACTTTGTTTTGTTGCGGTTGTTGTTGCCGTCCGTAAGTGTTCGGTCCGGTCATTAAATCATCGGTGGTTCGATCCAAGGTTCAACCGTCGTCGTCATTGTAGGGGGAGCCGATGATGTGTTCAACGTTTGAGCGATGTGCTTGTTGGGTTTTTCCCCAGCTTTGAAGAGCGCGGGTCGTGAAGTGCAGTAAACGGGCCGTTCTCCACCTTGATTTTAGGCGCTGCTTAGAAATAACGAACAGTCGGCATAAGACGGAATGAAATAATGAACGTAGCGAAGAACAACACTGGCTGGAGGAGGTGGTGGTCTTATTTTTTGAGCACCGATTTGCTTAAAGACTAAAAACATTAATAGAAAAAAATGTAATATGCCCTCACGGCTGTCAGTTTTAAAATAATAACAATTATGTACGGCACTTAGTAAATCGACTTCCAGATGCAGGCCTCCGCAGGACGTGTCAGACAGAGGTTATTTGACCATATTCTTAGGTTTTTTCGGTAAAGTCACGTAGGTAAAGCATTAAAATTAATAAAAGTAAAATAAAATAAAAATCACGACGTTTCGGAGGCAACACAAGTCTCCGTCATCAGGTGGGACCTTCACAGCCAGATTTGCTGCATCACTTGATACTTTTATTAATTTTAATGTTTTACCTACGTGACTTTACCGAAAAAACCTAAGAATATGAATCCTTGCAGTCACGAAAGCTTCAAATCTAGAATTATTTGACCATACTTCACTACGCTGTTAGTGAAGAGGGGGGGGTGGGGCGAGTTGAGAACCGGCTCAGCTACGACTCGCCACTGATGTTAGCCGTGGCCGCGAAATCAAACCTAAGTCCCCGGGTTCTAAGCTAATTGTGTTCCCCGCTGCGCCGCCGCTGCAACATTAAATTCGGGGCCTCACCTCAAGCGTCACGTTTAATGCAAATGAGGAATAATCATTGCGAGCCGTGCATTTCCACCCGCGTCCTTACGACCCCCTCTGGTGCGGCATTGCACGATTGCTGACCGTTAGGTACAAGCGGTGCCTTTGTGGCCTCATCTGCATATGAATGAGCAAGCACTCTTCTTCGGAGCGGAGACAGCTCCCTTTCTCGCAGCTATCGTTCCATCCCCTTGAGGTTAGGTCCTTTCTCGGAAAATTTCCCAGAGCCGCTCCGAACAAGGGCCGTTTGCCCGAAACGTCAGCCCTCATCTGCGTACTTTGCCGTCCGTAAGATGGTTCTATTGTGGTCGTTGTCATCGCCGCTGTTGTCGAATACAAGTGTGTTGTTGTTGCAGTGTGCACTACTGCCAGCTTTGTGTTTACTTATGAATGGAACAGATCAGTAATCACGGAAAGCTGCACCATGAGGTGTGGGGGGGGGGGGATCTAGGGCACTGCAGTTTGAAAAAGCTGATTGAGAGTTGTGCTTTGTCAGGCCGAGAGAGAGAAAGCCCACTGCTAATCAATGATGCATGTGTACAGTATAAATGATCTGCATTTAAGCAATCTGGCATGGGATATTCACGTGTGTATAATGTATATGATTATCTTTGCAACAAAACTGAAACCTTTTTTTTGTTGCCAGAAAAAAAAAGGGGGAAAACCCTATTATTATATTTTGGTACTGGCAAAGGAGGTCCAATGATGATTATCTTGATTAAGCTACACGTGTATATGGAGGAACACAAGTGCAGTGATTGTGGAACTGAACTTTGAACCGGACCACCCGATTTCGATGACCAGCCACAGGTGACACGAGTGGTGAGTGACTTCTGCAAGGACACAAGCCCACCACGACCGACACAGCCTCATTAAACCTTCACCAATACTTATTGACCAGCGTGGTGAAGTACGGCCAAACAACCCCGCGTGACCCCACATGGCACGGGGGGAGAGACCTTCATATAGCAGTGGATTAAATGAGGGCTGAAATTGTATAAACTTAAATTTAATTTGTTTTATATTTGTCTAGACTTTACTTTCTGCAGATTCCAACAGTTACGTCGATATATTGTCAAAAATGTTCTTCTCAAAGTGACCCCCAAACTTTTCACGAAGCGTTAACATAAATTGGATTCCTACAGAGGTTGTTTTACTTCTTTTTCTTGTGACACGGTGTGCAGAACGCAGAGCCATTCCAGGCCGATGCATCGGGCTCACTTGACGAGCTTGTTACGCGATCGCGGGGTTAGTGTGGGGCGCTCGTGTCAGGAATTGACGCCACCTCAATAGCTCAACCCCCTGATTGTTTGCGTAGCCCCGGTCTCAGCGCAAGTCCGTAATCTTTCTCTCTGTCCTGGCGAGTAAAATGGCCACTCTGCCTTCTCTTATTGGAGACCTCACGTCAAAATACGTGAAATCGTGTATACAGGATCCCTGGCAAGCCATTGCAAGCGTAATGACTGCAGTGGCAATCACACGTGGTACCAGATTTAAAAAAACGTGTCGCTCTTTCAATTGTCTCGTGTGCATCGCCAAACGTTGTGGTATTGCTGCCACATTCATATCACATCTTAGAAAATGAAAGCACTTGCGTTATCCAATTTTTTTTTGTGAGAATGATAAAAATAACATTTGTATTTCTCAAACGACAGTACATTTACTTTGGCACACTCATCAACATCACTGTGGCCTTAAAAGAAAACATAAATAACCTGCGACGTTTCCACCAATGCCCTAGCTTGAAAACGAATTTCTTTAGAACTGATTTTTTGTGTTTAGTTTGTTTTCCTTCCCTCGCACCTCCGATTAGCAACGGTTGGCTACGTACGGCGCGAAAGAAGTTAAATATATGTACATGTGCTGTGAAGAAAAGCGATTGTGTGTATTGAGGTGTTTGGTAATTGTGCTTGTGCACCACTGCCAATGCAGCATCAGGAAATTATTTGTGCAATCTGCTTTGGAACAGAGAGCACATGTCGAGTCCATCCATGGAACCAGGAGGTAACCTACAAAACGACTAACCAACTCAAAAGAGCATTCTGCATCGAACTAAAATCTTTAAATAACAATCGGTTATCACTTAAAAAAAATATATATATACCTTATAAATAAATGGATAAATATTTTTAAAAAATTAATTAAAACTGAATAATGTTGAATGAACGTCAGTACACACCTTACTCGTGTATTGCAATAATTTGCAAGTGCTTTGGAGAAGTAATACTGCACATAATGTGGGTGGGTGCCCAGGTTCAAATCTGCGGTGTTCAATTGGTTGTACGTAAAATTTTGATTTAAAGCTTTCGTGATTACAGGGATTCATATTCTTGGTTCTTTCGGTAAAGTCACGTCGAAGGGAAATAATAAAATAATTTAATATAAAACAATAAAAATTCTCACGACGTTTCGACTGCAACACAAGCAATCATCATCAGGTGTGAAATCCACAGCAAGAATTTTTTTTCAAATTTTCTTGCTGTGGATTTTATTATTTCCCTTCTACGTGACTTTAGCGAAAGAACCAAGAATATGGTTGTACGTAAGTTTAACTTCTTTCGCGCCGTACGTAGCCAACCGTGCTAATCGGAGGTGCTGGGGAAGGACAACAAACTAAACACAAAAATCAGTTCGAAAGAAAAGAGTTTTCAATTGAGATGTTTTTTAAATCGTTGAAAACCATGCATGCCTATTTACATGCATAATACATATGCTGGGATAAATGCAATGTCTCAACTGTGTATGAAAACGAGTCATGTTGACATTTTCTGGCATCAAACCAATTCCGCTCTCTGCCTTCAAATTTTTTTTCTCTCTCCTTCTCTTCTCTTCCCTGGGCTATAATAGGAGCGTGAGACATACTGGAGCAATATTAAACAGCTTCCTTGGCATATAGAGCTTAAGTAGAGATATTCATCTCAGTATCTTTATATTCAGTGTATCGCTCACACACTTCACGCAGCAATAATAGATTTTCAGTCATTGAAAAATTGGGGGAGAAACTACTCGTTACGTTTACTCCATTAACGTCACTTCGATGTATTTTCTCATTGCGAAGCTTAAAACGCGGCGTTAAATTTGCAACAAATATAAAACCCCTAAGTCTGTTTCAAAATTGGTTTCACGACACCACACAGTCTTTGTCACATTATCACACCCAAGCCTTGCACAAAGAACGATTAAATCATCATCATCATCATCAGCAGCAGCCATGTTCTATCCACTGCTGGAAGAAGGCCTCTGGTGTCTTTGCCGTCCCTCTTGGGCTTGCGGTGCCACAATCCACCCCGATCGCATCGCTCCATCTTCGCAGTTGTCACCCTCTCCGGCGTGTTGCCCCTTTTGGGTTCCATTCCATCATCGGTCTCATCAATCAGCCGTCGTTCCCGGAAGTGATGTGTCATAGCCACACCACATTAATTTCTCTTAACGATCAAGACGATGTCTCTAATATGTGTTCGTTCTCTTTGTCGACCTGTTCCTCTTTGTGTAATTCCCAGCATTCAGGTAGCATTCGTCTCCTCTTCGCGGCCCCAAGTCAGTGGCGGAAATTCCACGTTCCTATGGTGGGGGAGAGTCTACTCGTAGAACAATCACCGTCGACTTCCACGTAAAGTGATCCTCAATTTATCGACCTCCGAAGGGATGATAGACTGAGTCAATCCTCAACCGGGATTTCAAATCGCAACTTTCCTATTGCGAGCCGCTCACTCTACCCGCTGGGCCACCGATGCGTGGCACGAGTATTTAATCGGCACACACCGGAAATAGACAATTTCGAGCGCACGCCTCCACGAATGCACACATCGTGAGTCGAAGGACCGGCTCCCCCCCCCCCCCCCCCCCCGGTACAAGCGCAATCCAAATGAAATGTGGACATGTTGCGGTGACATTGGGGCGCTGGGAATTGGTGGCGAGCAGTGGTAGTGGTTGCGTCCTTACTCATGTCAGCGAGAGCGGTCTGCGATCCCACCGGGACGGTCGTGCCTCCGCCGCCAGCGCACCAGCATGTCCCGCGCACCTGCCAAGGCAACGAGCCGGGACACGAGATCATCACCGCGCTCGCACCGACACGCCGACCGGTTAATAGGGAAGTCGGTGTATGGCCCAGTGGCCAAGTTCAGCGCATCTTAATAAAAATACCAGGAATGAGGTTGCCCCCAGTTTACCCGTTGTTGTTATTGTTGTTGTTAATTTTACAAAACCAGCTTTTAGCTTTTCCGGTGTGAGTTCGGATTCCAATGCGTGTTACGCGGCGAAATGTCTGATGTTTCACTCCACGTGCTGCTGGGAGCTTTTTCAGGAAGCTTCCTGAAGGATGCACCGCAGCACGTGGGGCAGTAACACGGTGCCGAGCAGCATGCGGCCCCGGCCCGGACAGACACAGGCGGGAGAGCTGTTCAGTAAACTCGCGAAGAAAAACCTGAGCAGATTTAAAACCCCGTTATTTTTACGAACACCAAATTGATTCAGTTTACAGCTTGTAATTTTTACCTTTGAGCACTCACCGACATATGTTATATTAAAACACAACGTAATGGTATAACGTAACTTAAAATAGACATATCATAAACAGTGGTTACTGTGCTGTACTAATCTGGGACCGCCTGGCACATGGCGTTTCTGCGCAGCATGGAGACGCAGCTTATAACGAGTCCGAGACATTCGTGAGCTTCACGGGTGCGATTCGAAAAGGTTTTCAGCCTTTTTCTATTTTTCTGGGTGCCCCCAAAAAAGCCCCATCCACACACTCCCCGTTGAATGCGGAAGCCGGTAAACCTACGAAAGTTACTTCGAGGACCCACTCTACTGGTGCTCGACTTTGACCCCTACGCTTGTGGAGTCAGCGTTTGTCGATTGGGATCGCTGTTCGGTGTCTGGAGGGTGCCACATGGGGGCCGAGCGAACGGCAACTTCAATAGGAGACAATAAATTTGATGTTCCACTGGCTAGGGTTACATAGCTGCTGGTTTAGGCTTCTGAGACAGCCTTCGACACCAGGACAGATGCATGTCAGTTTGTTGTCCTTCCCCCGCACCTCCAGTTCGCACGTTTGTCCACGTGCGGTGCACAAGAAGTTGTATATACATACAAAGGATCAGCTTCACTGTCAATTTTTCGTTGGTCCCTTAAAACTCCCTCGCTTACTCAAACTCTTCTCCCCCCCGTCCCTTCTCCACCATAAACTCCATCCCTCTTCCCAACTTCTCTCCCCATTCATCACACTCACTCATTGTCACTTTCATCATCGTTTATTTCATGCATAGTCATATTCATGTACTACCATCCTTCTTATCAACTCATCTCATCACACTTCCGCTCTGAAAATAGCTCATTCTTTGTCAAGAAATGCATGGCATGCCTGCAGAGTCAAGCAATTAATCTCTGACTATACGTGCGTTCGGGATATTTTCACTTGCGATATGGCTCAAGTTGGTTTAACGTTGGACTAGAGGCCATTTGGTCTCGAGGTCAAATACCAGACGCGGTCTTCTCAGCACGTCTTTTCTCCCAAGCCAGTAAAGTGAGCCCGATCTGGTGAGTAAACCCACCATCAATGGGTGTCCTGTGAAAGGACAAGAGCCTCATCGCAAAGAACGAGGAACTGGTACCAATCACTAAAAAAAACAACAAGGGACAATGTACAGATGAGCGCTGCCCAAAGTGTTAAAGTGCGAGGGACACTGATATTATCTGATTCTATTTCAGTAGCATTATTATACTGCAATGTGTATCCATGAAGACCTTTCTTCCTCCTCCTCCTCTTAAATGTTTACGAAACAGACTCCGCAGTGGCAAGATATTTTGTCCCTCGCCTGGTATACAGGGGGTTCGTGCGTTCAATCCCTGACACCTGTATATTTCGAGTTTGCATGTTCTCTCCGTAGTCGCGTGGATTTTTCTCCGGGCTCTCTGGGTTTTCCCCTCCACATTTAGAAATATTCGTTTGGAGTATTTGGCTGCTATACATTTCCACAGGATAAGCCACTTCGTTGGGCTATCATTTGTGGCCAGGTCACTTCTGAAAAAAGCTACATAGCTCAGTGGGCCTTACCTGGTAAAAGAAACAGTTACCGCTGGACTGAAGGCCACTTATTTACTAAACACTACTCATATTTCCAAAAACATTTGAGATATTTAATGTATGTGCAGTGGTTAGCGCACTGCACTATGAACCCAACCATCTGTTTGATTCCCTGCTATAGCTCACATCAGAGGCAAGTGATACCAGAACTGGTCACCAACTCACACTAACCAGTGTGGTGAAGTATGGTCATACGTGATTTACATGTAGAAGAGAGGCCTTTACCCAGCAGTAGATTTACAACAGTCTGTACATTTTTACGTATTTTTCGTTATTGTCCATGTCAGCGTGCTCGCAACGAATAGAGGCATATGATCATGTGTTACGTGTGATTTCCAGCCCAGGTTTAGAGTCTACGGCTAATGTTGAAAGTTCAGTCCAGTTCTGTACATGGTAATAACATGCAGTATACTCTTTGGTTCTTCGGTAAAGTCACGTAGGTATAAAATAAAATAAATCACGACGTTTCGGGCGCAACACAAGCGTCCGCCACCAGGTGGGAATCCATAATCTATGGTTCTTTCACCTGATGACGGACGCTTGTGTTGCGCCCGAAACGTCGTGATTTATTTTATTTTCTACCTACGTGACTTTACCGAAAGAACCAAAGAGTATGGATTCCTGCAGTCACAAAAGCTTCAAATCAACATGCAGTATATGCGTATACTATCAGTGTTAGTAAGAGCTCCATGGCACACGATTGCAAAATTCCAGTTTTCGAACGTAACTAATTCCAGGGGCTGCGTCACGGTGCACTGTGGTTCACGGAGCAAGATCAGGGTGGCGATTTAGAAACTGGTGAGGCAGGATCAGCCACTCCCGAGGTTTGCATTCCTCCAGTGTCGGCCAGGCCTCTCTTCCGCACACACCTATGGGGTGCGCGGTGTCACACCGCTCAAGTAAACAAAGCTGCTTTGTCCACAATAGAGGGAGGGAGGGGGGGGGGTTAGGGGGTTAGATCGCGTAAATATAAATGTGTCGTTAAACCCGCCACCACCCGACACAGCCGCTTAGTAAGGTTTGTCACGTAAACAAAACGTGGCCAATTCGTTGCTAGTACAGCACACCGGTGTGTTGGAGAGTAAATCCACAGCATTTACAATTCGAGTAGAACGTTTAGCCGGTAATTACAACCAGCATCATCAGGCGACAGCCAGAGTTATGGAGAAATATTCATATATAGAGGGATGACGACATTTATAATCACGCGATCCAACCCAAAACCCTCAATTATGGACTAAATCTACATACTCGGAATGCATTTTACAGAGCTCATCCCCAGATGGCTCCAGCTGAGACCAAGAACATGCTGTATCGTACAGTGTACCCCATTAAAAGCCACTGATAACAACTCATGGAAACGACACAATCCCGGTGAGCACGACAGCATGCCCTCACTGCTGGCAATTACCGTCGAGTTAAATTCCCACTCCTATCTTCTTGGTTCTTTCGGTAAAGTCACGTAGAAGGGAAGTAATAAAATAATAAAAATAAAACACAATAAAATAATTCTCACGACGTTTCGGCCACAACGCAAGCAGCCGTCCTCAGGTGAAAACCAGGTCCGTCGAGGCGACAGAGTCTGAATGAAACAGCACACGAGCTTGGAGCATATATATAAGCTGGGCGCCTTGACAAAGGAATTTGCATATCAAGAGGAATTTAGCATATTTATGGGAAATGCAAGAATGTGATTAGTACTACATATGCATGTGCATCAAAGGGAGCTGCAGTTTGCTGCTGCTGCTGCAGTTTGTGTTTTATTTTTTATTATTTTATTACTTCCCTTCTACGTGACTTTACCGAAAGAACCAAGAAGATGAATCCCTGCAGAATTCCCACTCCTAATTCGCTCTGCCTGCCTTCGTGGTCGACAGACACCAAGTGGAATGAGGGCGACGTAAAAAGCCACAACCGGTGACGAAGTCACGCGCACGCAAGGCGTACTCAAATAAAGTTTGAAAGTCAAAGATAAAAAAACTTCTCAAAAGCCTACCGGGTGTATTGTCTGATTCAACCTCACAACAACAACAAGTGACGTGTATATATCAGGGGCTAATAACAATTCATGGTGTTTTAATTCATGCTACGTTTCATCTTCATATCAACTCTAGCAGTGGATTAATCGTGGCTGTGATGATGATATACACACGGACAGCGAAGGGCAATGGGAGGAAGTGGGGTAGTGATTATTTCACCGAGCTGTGAGCCACGGGCAACCAGAGATCATTTCCTGGCCAGTGGCGAACCGCTCCTGGGGCCAAAAACTTCACCCACCCGCACTGACCCCAGCGTGCTGACGCACGGTCTCAAACAGCTCGTTTGTCTGACACGGCAAGTGTTGGGGGGGGGAGGGAGAGGCTTCGGACAGCGGGAAGTGACTTGACGAAGGGACTTTAGATTATGGCTACCGATCTTAACACGCCAATGATGAACGTCGCGTTGTCACCGTTGCGTTAAAGAGAAGAACAATTTAACCAGCACGTGAACGGTTTAATTTGTGAATACGTAGTGAATGCGAGGCTCAAGCCAGGGTTTTGACATTCTTAAGAGGCTCATCAAGAGGTGGGCATCTGTGAAAAAGACTGGAACACGTGTGTGAAAAAAAGAGCTTTCTAGCTCATCGGATTCCTCCAGAATAAATGTTGCGATTCTGAACAGGTGACGACGATGGCAATCTCGACGTCACACACGCACAGGATTCGGACAAAACATCGTGTGACACCTTGGGACTGAATCACGAGTTTAGCTGCCAAACGAGATAAGGGCGGCGAGATGGGCGATACTGTTGTTAAATGCCACAGAATGCACGTCTCTTTAGCTCGTAAAAGAGGCTTTTCGTTTATGATCGGACTAAAGTCTCTGCCCCTTTATATCCGGTGAGTTTCGATTTAAAGCTTTCGTGACTGCAGGGATTCATCTTCTTGGTTCTTTCG